AAATAATGAATTTTTAAAAAAAAAAAAAAAAAAATGCTTTTGTAGACAATTCAAATACGCGTCAGAGCCCGTCGTCAAAATCGTACCAATCGATATATTCATGAAGATATCGATAGTTGAAGTTTTCAATTGTCGGATGTCTGCCAGATTCACACTCATATTGATTAATATAATTAATGACTTCATTCGAGAGATATTATTGTCAAAAGATTTTCAAAATAATTTTATAATTTCTACTCAACTTGATTTTTAAAATTTTATTTCATTTTTGTGCATGAAAAACTACGTTGCACGCAAAAACTCAATTAAAATCAATTAATTCTCCCAGGAAGTAAACATTTTTTGGAAGATAAATTCCAAATTTCCAGGCGAATTGATTTTTGAGATTCGGTTTATTTTTTATGTATCAGAAACTACTACAAATGCCGCAAGCAGTATCAAAATCAGTTAGCATATTGAAAAGATATTACAATCTAATAAATTTATAATTAGATTTTTCGACAGACAATAACTCAATCTGTACTCAAAAAATCATGCCAAATGCCACTAATCGAGTTAAAAACAAATGGGTATTTCAAAATCTATTTAAAAAAATTTTTGTAAAATCGTTTCTTTATAAAATGATAGAAAAAATTCACCTGATCAAAAAAAAAGAATCTTTAACCAACAAAATCATTTTGAAGAGTTTCATTGTTTTGAATTTAGAAGATAAATTTTTAAGTTTACTTAGTCCAAAAAATTTTTTGATTTACGATTTCTTCCCTTTAATCAAATTAATTTTTATGTTAATGAAACAATATTTAAATTATTAACTTTTAAAATTTAGTTACTTTTTAGGAGTGAAAAATAAGGCTTGACACCAGAGCTGAATGAAAATCGGTCAATTCGTTTCGAAGATACTGCTGCCCAAAAAACTGATCTTTAAAATAAGCCCTAGATTTTCCAATTGATCGATGTGACTAGTGACATCACGTTTTGTACTCGAAAAACTTTGACACATTGAAAATTTAATTAAAAAAGAATTAATTGGCTTTTTATTCATTTCAAGTAGTGATGATCTGATGATGATTTAAATTCAGAATCTTTTCCGGTTCCAAAACAAAGGTGTTGAAAGTAGATTAAAATTTATGCATTAAAGAAAACAAACATAATTCTATTTTTATTTCTATTTTTTAAGAACTTGTGAGATCTTTAATTGTTATGTAAAGAATATAAGAACTTGTTTATAATATTTATATGGAATATAAAAACTAATTTCGATAACATGAAACTTTGTAGAATTCTAAATTCAAAATTATCAGCGCATCGTTTGTAAAAAATTATTGCATTAAACAGGTTACCTTTCATAGCAAGTGCTGTGGCTTTTTGTAATTTATAAGAACCGATAATCCACAGTAATAAGTACCACGCAGAACATATCATAGATACAAAATTATTTAAACATCATGTACATTTTTGTAAAAGAAGAAATAGTCTTTACCTTAAAATATTTCCTTTTTCTGTTCTATGTTGATAATAATTGATACATAATCGTTACTGACCAATGCATTATCCATAACAATTAACATGCCACTGATGATTTATTATTTTATTTTACGTTTGCTTCATCTTGAATACAAAAAATATCTGAAAGTCACAATAATAATACATGAATTAATGAACAAAATGTCTATGTGAGTCATTACAAGGCTGGAATACCATTTAAAGGGTGATGATGGTGTTATTCATGATAAACAATGACTTGATGACGCTTCTAATAAGGTTGTTACGCGAATTGATTCTTCAGCTATTATACAAAAAATTGGGAAAAGATTGTTGCTTTTTTTACAGATCATGGTTTGCTGATTATGATACTGTAAATTTCAGGCTCCTTTGTTTACAGCATGTAGATTTATCAGCACCATTTTGAACATGAAATAGTCCGCTTGTAATTGAACTGATGTTGAAAATAAAACATAGTGACATGTCAAGCAATGAAGACGTCAGTAAAATACATTATTTTTATTATTGAATCTGAAAAATTTTCAAAAAAAATTGAATATAATTCTGTATAATTTTATATGATCATTTACAGCTATGTATATATACTGACAATTTTATAATAAATTTATGATTATCACTAGATTTCGATAATCTTCAAAATATTTACATGATAGTAATCAGTAATGTAATTGTAGTGCTTGATAAAATATACAATTTTCCATTATCATTTTTATGCCAATTAAAAATTATTGCACGACTCATGATTCAAAGCATCAGAGAGTGCTTTACGATCGAAATTACTAGTTTTTCGGAAGGATTAGAAATTAGAAAAAAAAATTAATAATTTTTTAGTAAAATTTATAATTAGAAAAATGTTATACTAGTTTTTCTGAAAAATTTGTAATTAAAAAAAAAAATATTTGTAAAATGTATTCGAGATGAATATTCTGAATACAAAATAGCAGTAATCATATTTGTTATAAATTAATTATAACAACTACGATTGTTATCAATCGATATGATCTATATTAACACTGGGACATATTTATTACTAAATATAGATTTCAAAAATTATTACCCGCTATACTGAACTTAAATGAGATAATCGAGTTGTTTTTTCACATATGAGCTTGCCTCAGAACTGGACATTTTTTTTAATTCGATTTTCCTTTAAGCTCGCCTTAGAATTCATACTACCCCTAAGTTCAAGTATGCTTATTTTTATATTGCTACATGACATTATTCTAAGAAAAATATTTGATACTATAATTAATTTTAAAAATTAAGATAACATTTCATGTGTGATTATTTTTAAAACACTTAACTTTATTCAGAGATAATATTCATTATTATTTATTATAGTGACATAATAGTCAATAATAACCAAATTACTAATGTCCTTTTATATAATTATGTGTAAACATAATGTGTATTCATATAGTTTTTTTTTTTTTTAACTCGAGTAGTAAGACTGCTTGATGTAGTTTGCCACAGACTATTATTTTTTCCATAATTTAAAATTTACTTGATAATATTAATGTAAAAACGCCTTTGAAAAATTTACAAAAAATTTTTTGTCAATTTTATTACCTAGTTAAGTATCATACTTTTTTTTTAAAATCTTAATTTATTTATTCATGAAGAATTTTTGCTAAATGTTTCCATTTACTCTGTAGAGAAAGACATTTTTCTTGGTAATTTTAATAATTATAATTCAAGAAATCATCTAACAAAGCCAAATTTATCTTGGACAAAGCAAAAATAAATTGAATTACAAAAATCAGTTTGATTTAAGAAAAATTTACTTTGTTCAAAATAATTTCGGTCTTTCTTGATATTTCTTACTTCTTGGTTTGTATACATTTTTTTTTTTTTTTGTGTAGAAGAAAAAGAGTCTGAGTATATTCCAAAAAAATGAAATTCATGTCGATAAAATTGTAAACGCAAAACTAACGATTTTAATATTTTATTTGAAAAAGAATATAGTTTTTTTTTCCATTTTAGGAAATAAAGATCTGTATGAAAAATTTAGTGTACCTGTAAAATATCCTACTACTTATAGAACTAAAAATCCGATAATCGAAAATAAGCATATTATTACATTGTAACTTTGAAGCAGATTGCAAAAAAATGAAAAATAACAAGATTTTAGAGCATGTCAAGTCCTATAAATAAATCGGATAAATTAACTTCATAAGCGGAACAGCTTATGAAATATTGATTTAAAAAAATAATTTTTAATGAAGATTCAATTTAAGAAGTTTTTTTACAAAACTCAGATCAACTATTCAAACCCATAATTATATTTAGTTATTGTGTGAATTATTTCAACAGACCATGAAATATATTGAAAAATGTCTTTCAAATACTAGATTTTTTTTCCAGATACATACTTAATTACAGATGTTCATAAGAAAATATTACTAACCACTTAATGATTAGGCCTTAATTGATAAACTTAAAAAATTTTTAAGAACGAAAAAATGAAAAAGAAGTAACTAGTTATTTTATTTTATTCATGTGATTATCTTTCGTGAAATGACATAAATATGATATAAAAATTTTCTTATTTATTTTGACTACTTTTAAAGTATCAGTTTCTCTGTCATGATCGTTATGTTTATAAATTTAAACTATTATCGACGATTTTGAGGATTTATTTGTAGATTAAGTATTGAAAAAAATCTTATTTTTCGTTATAATCACTTAATTTATTATTATAGTTTGCTATTTACATGTTAATAAAACTATCAATGTAAGAAATTGAATATAATATAAATTTCGCAATAAAGTAAATCAAATTATTAACGAAAATTTGAACTTTACCATCAATTTTGTACGCATTAAAATTAAACCATCGAATATTTGAAAACTGAGATCATATATTTTTAATTTAAAAATTTAATTATCAAGCAAAATGTAAGGCTCATACATACTTATCCACATACAAATATAAAAAATTATTGATCCAGCTTTAACAAGTTAAATTTTTAGCTAATTTTTAGTTAATTTTAAATCTTGAAAGCCTGCTTGACTAATAAAAAAGTCAATTTCAGATTATAATATTAGTCAATTGTTAATTATTTCATTTAATTAAAATATTTTATTTTATATTTTTTAAAATCAAATTACAAATAAACTAAAGACTTGAAATTAAAACTTTTGGTTGAAACTTCAACCAAGAATAAACGGTAATAGTTGCAAATGAAAATATTAAACGGACTCATAGATTTTACTAATAAGAGCCAAAAGAAATATAATAATGTACCTTTAAATACATCGCGTAAATGTATCTTTTAAAACTAAAAAATAATTGTTGAAAATAGATCTATTGAAATTAATGATTAAGAGAAATAATTTGTCCTTATGATTTTTGTGAATCTATTGAATATTTACTGGTTTTGAGTTCGACGTTCCCCAATTAAATTTTCAATTTTTTTAGCAAGAAATGGAGTGGTGAGACTCTTCTTTGTCGGTGAATGACTTTCTTTAGTTGTATCAATGTCCATTTCTTCGGATAAAAGTCGTTTCCCTACAGATTTTCGCGCGTCAACAGATATCATCATTCGGTTGATAGCTTCGAGATCCTAATGAAAATAAATATAAATTAAAATTTTATTCATATAATTACATAAAATGAACAATTTATCTTTTACATGACTGATCAATCAAATACTTACTTTGGCAGGGCTGCGACTAAAACAGTAACTTAATTGTGGAGCAGGTGATGCAGTAATAGCCTTAGGATCAAGTGTTCTGGTTAAAACACTGTTACTTACACGTCTAATAGGTGAATTTATCGCAGAATTACTTTTCGGTAGAGGACTGAGTGGAAGAGTAGAGTTATTGCCACGAGACAAATTAGCAACCTCTTTAACTTGAGGAACATAGATTGTGTTATAAAATTTGATAAGATCACCGCGGCATTCATCACCAAAGCTTTGGGAAGTTCCTGCCATGTTGGATGGTGTTGGTGGGGTTGCATTATGAGTATCAACTTCCATAGAATCAGAATCAACATTAGTGTCATTCTTGTTTGAATTTTTGTCATTGTTTGCATTTTTAGATATAAGTACAGATCTATAAATGTGCGACTCAGCTTGTGGTTGCAATCGATAACAACGCATTATTTCAGTAAATGTATTACGTTCAATTTTAACAAGCTTACAAACAATGTAGACTGCGCACATAAGTATTTGATCTAAATGTCGATCTTTCATTAATTCTGTACGATCTTTTATTGAGTACTCAAAAATAGTCCAAATTTTTTTCTTAATATCAATATCTGTTACTAAAAGTGAATTGCAGAGACTTTGCATTCGAATTGATCCAAGGATATAAAATTTTCTAAAAAACAATGCAACAGATCCAGTTTTTCGTGATTTATTAGACTCACGATTAACGTTAACCAGTGCTGTAGTATTAGATGATCTCATTTGTGTAGTATCTGGGATAACATAGACGCGAGACTCAGAATCAATTATGATTTTTTGGGTACACTTATCTTTGAGAATACTTTGTCCACTGCTTTTCGATGGGTCATTAAATAACCGTTTTTTTGCTACACCAGATGAAGTTACCGGAGATTGAAATCTTTCGGAAGCTGATGAGATCGGACTTTGCTGAGTATCATGGTGAGTTGTTCCTCTATCTAATGCCACTCTTCTCAATGTCGCTTGATTCGACGAGTTTGAATCTAAAGAATCTAACATGCCTGGAAGAATAACTTCTTCACAACTCGGTACCCCACCGGGAGTATTTTCAATTGCTTGCCATAAAGGACTACTAGATTTCCACGCTTGTGTCTCAAGAATTTTTTCTTCAATATCATTAAGATGTTTAACAACTTCTCTCGGCAGATGTTCTTCACGAACAGTTACTTCAATTACTTTATAAAAATTATAAGGCTCCAGATTGAGAGCTTTTAAAATCCATGGAAAAATACGATCTGTATTTTTGTATGACCAAATTACTATTTCTATAGAGCATGCGAACAAGCATAAAAGGAAAACTTCATTCAGTAAAAGATTCTGAAATAAAAAAAATCTATTATAATAATTGTTATTAAGAAGTATAACTTAAATATTGTTATTTAATTTAATCTTACCGTAATATCATAGTCAGGCTTTATTTTTTTCTCATAACTTAGAATAGATTCTAAAATTTTGTAAAATAATGTTTGACCAAGTATGAGTCTCTTTTTACCAAAATCTAAACTGAGAGATTCAGCATCTTCTACATTTTGAGTGTAAGAAACATAAAATTTTTCACTGAATTCTTCAACTTTAGTTTCAACGAAACTTTTGACATCAGTTGAACAGCTTCTGTACATTTCAAGTAACACTTCATTGGGAGCAGCTTGCCGTCCGGCGAGAAGTGCTTGTAAACGACTTACACTCTGAGTTGCTGTTGTAATGGGAGTAATATGCGGCATATCTTTATTTTTGAGATATTTACGTCCGGTAAGAGGAGTTGGTGGTGCCAAATCACGTATTTGCTCTCTTTTTAGTTGGAATTGTTCTTGCAAATCTATGTTCAACATTTTTGTTGGAGATCCAATATTATCACTTGCGTCTGCACCTATAATTAGTAATATATTAACTTTCTTCGAAACTGTGTCAAAACATTTTTATTGTAAATTAAATGACTCCAGCTCTTCGGAATAAAAAAAAAGTATTGAGACAAAGAAAAAAGTATTGAAAAGTATTGGATTGACTAGAAAACCAATATTTTTTTCTTTGTCTCAATGCTTTTTTTTAATCAGGGTCTTTACATAAACAAAGTTAAATATACTAAAACAATTTAGTTTTATAATTATGTAAAAAATAGTCCATCCGAATATTAAGATTTAAGAAAAGCATTGTTTTTTTTTTTTTTTTTTTTAGGTATATGTGAGCTACTAATTATGATTATGATAAATTCATTTCTCCTGAATTTCTGTTTAGAGTATAAAATACCACACTAATAGTCACCTATTCATTCAAACATTACAACGATGTGGTTGATTACGATGATAGTTAAAATGATTTGGCCAATGCTCAAGTGAATTACCGTTTGACAAAACCTACCTTCAAGTATATTGTTCCTGGCAAATTTAGTTCTCAAAATAATATCACAGTCGCTAACAAGTATTGAATTAGATATCCCATTCAGTTTAACTCTTCTCCATTCAGCTGGACAGTGTAGATATTTGCATAATAAAGCAGAGCCAGTGCAGGTAAATGATTATTAATAAATATTAAGCAAATTGAAAATAATAAAATTGTAAAAAAGAAAAAACAAATAAGCAAATGAATGTAAGAAGTTTTAAAACCAATAAACTTGCTATTTTTTATCGTATGATTTTAAAACTGTGAAGAATAAAAAAACATGCTTTTTTTTTTTTACAGGAATTAATTCCTATACTCATCAAGTACTCCGGGCAAATCGTTTTTTTTCTTTAATAGTAATCAAAGAAATGTTAACCTTGAAGTATTTCCATTCATACATTAAATCTAATTCTAATAAACTATTCGAGTACGTGATAGACCAAAATGCTTACCAAGAAAAATTCTCTCGTCGAAATCTCCCATATTCAGGACATGTTGTTCATAAACTCTGTTTAGAGATTTATGGTTGCTCTCAAAATTGGCAGCCTCAAGAATACCAGAAAAATTTGACTGGTCACCTCGTAGAATTTTTTCGCTGAAAAGTTTGTTAAGGTGAGCTTTTAGAGAATATTCTTTTATAACTTTAGCTTCCACAGCGATAGCGTCATGTTGTTCACACAATAAATTGACGATACAATTAGCAGTTTGTGGAGGCTCAGAGTTCTCGTCATTAAAATTTTGGGGTAAACCTGAAAATTAATGATAGTTAATTGACATTTTTTAAAATAAAATTGCCATTACATCAAGTTACATAAAATAATAATGAAAACTTACCAGGAAAGTTAGGATTCAACAGATCTTTTCGATCAGCAAGCAATGCATTACTATAGACAAAGTCGCAGCATACTAACAAAAGATGATAAGAGTTAACAAGATCATCAGATATTTCCGGAAAAGCACCCTTAACACAAATAAAAAGTGTCCAACAAAATTCGAAAACTTTTGAAGGAGTACAAGGCGCTGATTTATGTCTTCTTACTCTTTGGGGTCTTGATGAGTCTTCTACTGGGTTTCTAAATATAAATGTGAAAATTGGCTGATATTTTTTGAATATGATCATTGATACCGTAAAATTACGTTCAATTTTATCAATCTTTGATCTAAAACTTTGAGACATATGGGCCATGTCAGCCCATGATTTACAATTTGAAAAAAACTGTATTAATGGCAATTTGCATAATTTCAGCAGGCGAGTTAGAGAAATAGGATTCCCTTCAAGATTAGATCCAGTTCTGCCGGCCGAGGGCGTAGAGGATTCACGACACGCCACGTATACAGCACATACAATCCAGTGCATCGGATTACCCTGGAAAAAAACAAACATCAATGATTTGTAACTTGAATTACTATTAATATTTAATTAATTTGTACTCTACTCAAAAACATAAACAGAGTATTAATGAACTGAATTCAATATTAAATATATTTAGCTGTAGATTATAATATTGTCAGCTAATTAAAGGTTATTATTTTAAGGTATGACAAGGTGTATACATTCGATACCATCAAATAAATATCATCACATTCTGATTAAATATTGATTAATAATTAATATAATAATTTTAATAAAAAAAATTAATGACCAGAAAATTACATGCTAAAATAAAGTATTAGTTAATAGTACCTCAAGAGTATAATTTTGACGAATAGTCAAGTATGATTTCCATGCTTCAGTAGCTGCTGTTGCATCCATGTTAAGTTTTTGGCATAATTCTTGATGCCTACTATATGGATAATCTTCAAGATCGTCTGATTGACCCATTTTTTTTTATAAAATTAATGTGTGAACACTGATAAACACGATAAAATTACACTTATGCGAAGTGCACCATGCAATACCACAAACCACAATATACTATATAACAAGATGTCTTGGCGGGAAATGCTAAAAGCCTGCCATCTTTCCTAAATTGGCGGGAAAGATCTTGTATAGTACAGAGTCATAACATCCGTGTTCACTATACTTACTATATGTGATATTTCAATAAATGCAATTACGTAATATCTAAACTCATTTAAAGCTAAATTTTCATTTTTTTACATACGTTAATAATCTTACAATACAATAAATTTCGTAAGCATTTCCGGATAAATAAATGTTTTAACACACGTAGTTTCAGTTCAGATTTCCCGCGCAATATTTATAATTGTTAGTTTTTTGAGCAATATTTATTTACATCGTTTCTTCAATTTTTTATTTTAAAAATCAATCAAAATTAAGAATCTATTTAAATTGTTATCAATATCTTAATCTTAACTCAATTTTATTAATTACTGAGTAGAAAGAAAAATGACGTCACTGAAAACGTCCTTAGTTGGGTAGCTGTAACGCAATCACAGACGCTATAATCACGGATCTCTGCTGAGCGAAGATTTTTTATTTGATTGATGAAAACGCATGCGCATATTATGCAATTATGCACAGTCTTAACAATCTTAACCTGTTATGTCTCCATCTAGTGGATATTAATTTATTTTGCTCAAAAATTCAACAATCCATTCAACCTCAAGAGTGTTAAAAAATACTCGGTTTCAGCGCGGGAAAGGAAACTTAATTTAATAAAGTAAAATTCGAAACGATTTAATTTTTATAATTATCAGAACTATCTTGATTTTCTATTTATTAATTAATTTTGTGATGAATGTGATTTACTTTGTGTATCGGAGTATTTTTATTATTGTTAATTACTTGAGAATTACGAAAAACAATTATTATGATTTATCACAACGATTATTATTAACTTTCATTATTGTATTATTATAGTTATTATTTTTATTATTATTATTATTTTAAGTTATTTTAATATATCTATATGTACATACATACATGTATATATATTTGACTCGAAGATCGGTTTTTATTGATGAAGAAAGATATTATTATTATTATTATTTTTAAGCCTGATACTCCCGATCCAAAGTTCTTGAAGAATGACTAATTTTAGATTATCACTTCTTCACCATAATATTTTTATCGGTATGAGGTCTCTTGGCCAAGCAAAGAGAATTACTCAGTGAAGCTTAATAGGTAACTGGAAGGCAGTTACGGACAGTGTTCAGATAGCTTAAATGGTAGAGCATTTGGCGCGTAACCAAAAGATCCAGGTTCGAGTCCTGGTCTGAGCTGTCTGAATTATTTTTTCGGTTACTGAAAAAAGTTACACTGAGTAAAAACTAACATCTTCTCTAACAATAATTGTCGATAAACAAATTTTAATTGTGAATTTCACCTAAATTTTCTCTGATGGTATGAGACCTCATACCAATAAAAATATTATGGTGAAGAAATAATAATCTAAAATTAGTCATTCTTCAAGAAAATTGTATCGGGAGTATCAGGCTTAAAAATAATAATAATAATATCTTTCTTCATTATTATTATCATTATTATTTTATTGTTTCCGAAGATCGGTGTTTTCACTAATTGAAAGTTATATATTGTCTAAGCCATACTACCCCGATCCAAATTGATGTTCAGACTAATTTAATTTTCATTTATTAAATTTATTTGCACCATATTATTGTCGATATGAGCACTCATACCGTCTTGAGGTGAATATATCCAATAATTAGAAATTTAATTTATTTAATTAAGAATATGCAAAGATTTATTTTTATTTACTCAGTGAAACTTTATTTGGTTACTGAAAAATAAATATCTCGGAAAATGCTCAGACCAGGAATCGAACCTGGATCTTTTGATGTCGTGCCAGCTGCTCTACCCTTAAGCTATCCGAGACACTGTCCGTACTTTATCATTCAGTTACCTATTAAGCCTAACTGAGTACTTTTTCTACTATGACAAATTTTTCAATGATGTATTTTTAGATGTTATTAAATACGATGACTTTAGAGCAGTTGGCGCGACACCAAAAGATCCAAGTTCGATTCCTGGTCTGAGCATTTTCCGAGATATTTATTTTTCGCTACCCTACCCGGACTGATGGTAGAGAAGAAACTCAACAGTAGTGCTCAACTGATATCAGCTCCCCAAGCACGGTACAACTGCTTGTTACTTTGCTTGGGGAGCCGATATCAGTTGAGCACTACTGTTGAGGTTCCTCCCTGCCATCAGTCCGGGTACTTACCGAACGCGCTCACTTTATCGAAAATCCGCTCGCGTTCAACTCGCTATATTATTTGACCCCAATCAAAAATTAATTTTTTTCAAAATAGCCAAATTTTTCGCAATTAAATTCTAGATTTTTGAGAATAGGTGCGAGTGCTGTAGTAAATTTAGTTTCGGAGATATCGGCTTCCAAAAAAAAAGCAGTTTTTTGATTCCTTTTATTACCAGAAATATGTGGAAAAAAGCAAAAATGAAATCGGTTGATTTTTCAGGTTGCTAGCTCAATTTGTTTATAAAACTTCGATTGTTAATAACTAATAAACTATCAGCCTGACAGGGATTTACCCAAAAGCAAAGTTGTAGATTTTTTTAAGCTCTACAAATTTTATGTGAAAACTTAACCCGCTAGATTAATAGTTTCAGAGATATTTAATTTTTAATTTCCATTTTTTTTGTTTATCTGTTATTTATAAACAAATTGAGACCGCCATTGATACTTGCTAGAATTTCATATTAACCTACTTGGTATCGAAATTTCAAGAAATTATCATTTTTCGATCAATTTCCAGTTGGCACAGCCGATTTGGCTAATTTCTGTGGGCTACTAGTCCCAAGTAAAAAAGTTACGGGATTCCTCCGGTGATCTGCCGGAAATCCTGAAGAATTCATATTTTGACACAAATCTTAATTCCAGAAGAATTCCCCATGAATTTCGGATGAAATTGTAAGTGATAATTTTATTGTCACATTACTTGTAGTCTGTTTGGAATAAATAATAATTAAAATATTTGAGAGATTTGTTACATTATGTGACAGCTTACTTACTTTTAATTGGATTAAATGATGATGCCCTTTTCAGTTAAGATAACATTCCGAATGTTCGTGAAGTGGAAGAATATTTGTGTGTTCCATTAATTGCACCAATATTACATTTGGAAAATCGTTCATAGCTTCAAACTCATTGGCAATTTTAGCAAACTTTTCATTTTCAGGCCAGATTATAAAATTTAGAGCTGTTTCAAGTAAATCCGTTGTAATTCTTTTGGCACATCGACCTTTAAAATCAATGCATTAAAATTTAATTTATTTACATTTTCTATTCGGCTTACCCTTCATTTAGTTACAATATATGTGTCATTAAAATTAAATAAAAAACATTTTTATATATGACTAAATAAAAATTATTTAAAAATAAAATAATTGTAATGAATAAATTTTCCAATAAATATAAATAAATATAAAATTATCATCATAGGACTAAAATTCATAATTTTTTTACTTAAATCTTACCACCGATTTTCAACTATACTAGAACGTTCGTTCGAGATGTCTTGCATTACCCAATAGCTTTAGTAAAATATGATAAGTTTCAATCGTAATTGGACTATATATTTATTTGTAATTGGATTTAAGGTTCTAAATTAAATAGAAATAATTTTTTTGAAAATTCCCAGTAAACGTCACCTTTTTGTTTTTAGTCGATCAATTTCCGACTAAACAATCGACTTGTCATAAAGAATCGACCCAAATAATCGAATGAACAGCAGGAAAAGATCGATTCTTGTAAGAATCGATTTTGAATTCATACTGTAGGTAGTGATTGTAAATGACAGTGTTGAATGTTGTGCTGAAAGGATAATATAAAAAAAAAATTAGGTGTTAACAATGGATTTAGTATACAGAGTACCATTTTTGGTTCTTGAAGTGCCAAATTTAAAATTAAAAAAACCATCATGGTTTGTTAAACCTAGTGCAATGGTTGTTTTTTCAATCATTCTTTTATCTTATTTTATGGTCACTGGAGGTTAGTGTCATACAGTATCCACGTATACAAATATTTCCATCACAATTATACCGGCTTTTTTTTTTTATAGTACTTTTCAATATTTTTATTATAAAAACTGTAAAACTAAAAAAAAGTTGAATAAAAATGTTTATTTAATTTCTCTGAGCTATATTTTAGATAACAATTTATTTCATAAAAAATAAAATCTTACCTTTGAATGATGAAGAATCCAATCAGTTTAATTGACGTTACTATTTTTTAGGTATTATTTATGATGTAATTGTGGAACCACCTAGTGTTGGATCAACGACTGATGAACATGGTCATACAAGGCCTGTGAGTAATTTTTGGTTTCAACTGTTATTGTTAATATAAACTATATATATTTATGGAGTGAATTAATATGAGAAAAAATCAAGCAAAAAATGTTTAAAAAATTTAATTTTCTCAAATGACTTTCAGGTAGCATTTATGCCATATCGCGTCAACGGACAATATATTATGGAAGGTTTAGCCTCGAGTTTTTTGTTTACTCTTGGAGGACTTGGTTTCATAATACTTGATCAGACACACTCACCTTCAACTCCAAAATTGAATAGGATTCTTCTGATGAGTGTTGGTTTTATTTGCATCATTGTATCTTTTATCACTTGTTGGATTTTTATGCGTATGAAGCTTCCGTAAGTACTCCAATGACTTGTAGTATTTTCTTAAAATGTTTATAAGTATTATTTGAGGTAAGTTTGGAAGTCTCGGGTCCACTCTGTTTCTAGCCATGAATCAAGATGGTTTTAATTTTTTTAAGCGTTCGCTTATTTTTCCTTCGAAGATCACAAAAAAAAAAAAAAAAAAAATAGCATCAATATTTTTTATTTAAAATAAAATTTTATCAGAATCATAAAAGTTCGAAAATTCGAAATTTAAAAACTTTCTAATTTCATGTTTTGTTTTTAAATGTAAAATCTGAAAAAAATTACTAGAAATCGCTTTACTTGTTTGGATAAATTAACATAATTAATTTCATTTTTATTACAGTGGATACTTCTAGTGGTAAATCCCAAGACCGTGGATTGTCTTAAAGCATTCTACAATCGATCATACTTCCATTGGTAAGCTTTTATAATTATTCATTAAAATGAATGATTAAAAAACAGTGACTATGAAAAATAAAGAAAATTTTTTTTCTTAGTTATCCATTACATGTTTTTTTTGTCTAAAACTTACACTCTATTGAAATAAATTATAAGATATTTGATTTTTATATTGAAAAAATTTCTTGCTCTACGATTAATTAATTTATATATAAATATCTATATATATTATTACCAATATCAAGAATGATTAATGAATGTGTTATAATGTAGTAGTAAGATTAAGGGTATGTAAATATTGTTTGAGTCGAATTTTTCTTCAGTTTCTTCAAACAATTTTCTTTTAAATTTTGATAAATTATATGATAGTAAATAGCCGCAAAATTTAAAGTTCAATTTAAGTTATAGTACTTAAATATTAAGCATACATAATTGAAGAACTTAACTATTTTAGCCGAATCAAGTCATATTTACGGCTTTCCAATGAATCACTTAGTTTCAAATCAATTGAGTAGATTTTAAAGAATCGGAATAAAATTTTCAAGAAAATGTTATTTTGGAAGAGCTTTTGAAGTATATTGGCTGTAAAATTTTTTAATTTAATTATTTTTATTTCATAGAAAAAATAGAATGCGTAAAATACAATAAGAGCAGTTAATGTATTTTATTAGCTGATGTCAGAATCAATTAATTTACTTGAGAACTATTTACGTCCAAATATTGCCGACAATATTTTTGTTTTAAAATAGATCCGTGTTTTCGTTCAAATAATATCGTAGAAATATTTATCAAATAAAATTTTTATTCATATTTTCCGAATACTGGAGAACATAAATCAACAAATAAATTTTACTTCTTCATAATATAACTACAAAGATGACATAAAATTATATTGTACTAGGAATAAAATTCTTTTATTAATCGAATTTAACAATGAAATATTGTAATATATTATAATCTATTGATTGAATTTTCCGCTCGTAAGAAATTCTTTCATGGTTTTTTCTAAAGTGGGAAGAAATTTGCAATAGTCGTCAACACATTTTGTAGCACATTTCTCAAAGTCATCATTTAATTGATTAACCTTATCTTGACTTGGATTAGGTCCAACTTTATCCATAATTCTATCGTTACAGTCCATTATACATCTTTGTAGTCGATTCTGAAACATCAAACAACCTTCATTATTGAGAATATTAAAAATAATAATAATAATTATTATTATTATTATTATTATTATTATTATTATAAATGAATGAAGAAATTTTTTTCATTTTTTCTTACCTGTGATCGTTCAAATTCAGATTGAACATATTGTTGAGCTTTATTGAGAGGTTCGCTACAGCTTTGGACACAATTCTGAACTTTTTGGACAGTATACATATCATTATCACAACATTTAGCTGCACAGCGATGCATATCACCCTGAAAGATATAAAAGTTATAAAGTATTTTGTTACATTATTTTTTTGTTTTAAATTCGTAAGTAAGCATTCAACAGATATTAACTGCACGCATCAAAGTGTGATTTACGATCGAAAAATTCTGTTTGCCTCTTTTCCGCTACTTTTTTTTTCTTTTTTTTTTCAATATAATATTTACATTAAATTTGACAAGTATTAATCCAAAAGAGATTAACATAGTATAAAATTTATTGTCTTAAAGAAAAAAATATTTGGGACTGTCGAGTATACTTATGAGTCTTGCTACAAAAAACTAGTTAACTTCGCGTAATTGTTAATAATTATATTATTATCCAACCTATTTGATTCTTATAAGTAACAGTAATAAAAAGAGTTAATTCTTTTTCAGACAACAGTAAATATTGGAATTGATAAAAGATATCATTGAAAAATTAGCCTTTTTTTACTCTAAAACGTGAGTCGCTTCGCTGTTACCTCCTCAAAAAGTGAAAATGTAGATGCATTTTTTTACAACTATGAAGTTTATATAAATATTTTCTAATAATTTGCACATCGTAATAATTTTAGTACGTAATTTAAAAATCTAAGATACTTTATTAATTTTTTTTAAATTTATATCACTTCTTTTTTGAATTCAAAATAGCGTTTGAATTGAAAAGTATATACATTGTTTCAAATGTTGAGAAATCAATCATTGATTTGATTCAAATAAATAATATTAAGTTATAGAAAAGGAGATTTAAAACGTTTACTTCTTTTAAGAAATAATTTCTACTCGCAATTATTCTATTATCTTTTGTTTGATTTAATTAATATAAAGAAATCTAAGCTGTAGTCCCTTGAAGTGTAATCTCTATAAAAGCTTAATTTTTAGAAAAATATACTACAATCTAATGATATCAAAATTACCAAATATATAATAATTTTCAGAATCTTTTAAAAAATAAATTATTATAAAATTTTTTTTTAAGAGATCAACTAACATATCAAAAATCGATATTATTATAATTTTTTTTTTTCAATTTCTTGTAGATTTCCTAGAAATCTAACTATTGTATTTGTTCTGATGACGAAACTTGTGAAAAAGTTTGTTATTTAAAATTTTCACATATCTATTAATTTCTAAATCATTGATAATTTCAGAGAAGAGAGACTCCACTTATTTTTGGCTATAAAAATTCGAAAAATTAACTTTTTTCTCGATTTTGTTTCATTTGGCGGTGGATTTATGATGATTACAATCATTATTGTCGATTTTGATCGATAATTTAAAAGTGATGTAATAATTTTTCAGCATTGCTCTATTTTTTTTTTTTGCTGATCATAAAAACTCTAACAATTTGAAAAAAAAATTCAGAGGAAATTTCTTAATATCTTACAAATTTCTGACGTTTTGAACATTGAAATTGAATTAAACTACATATTTCTGACCGTAAAAAATTCAAACATATCTTTGTCAATTACCGTATCATTAAATAATACCAATAAATAGTTAGGTGTCGGCTGATTTTAGTATCATATAATTTAATCGTTTCCATGTGGATATGAAGTAGTTAACTTCTTTATTATTTAGGAATGAAATCAATACAATAAAATATAATCAAAGATATAAAAGTTAATTTCGAATTTGCCTTACATTTCAACTGATTCTTATAAAATTACGCAAATAACTAAAACGACTCACGATTGATAAATAAAAATTATCTATTAATTTTGAATTCTACTCAAAACGCGGGAATTAATATAGGTATTTGTTAGTTTGACGTTATTTTTTTATTTTTTTAGGTATCTAAGTATACCCATGTGTGATTTTTACTTTAAAAATAGATTTAAAAAATCTAAACATATGAGATTTATTGAAAATGATTTTTAATATAGACAAATATTGTAATATAAAAAGCCAATAACTTATATGTCTCTCATAAAAAATTTAATATATACGATTTTTAAAAAAAGTTCTACTAGAATGAGAAACATGCATATCTAACCTTTAAAATAAGATAAATTTAAAATTGGTACCTGCATTTTCCTTAAATGAAATTTGTCCATTGACTCGATAAGGAGAGTCATTTGTTCTTCCACACGTCTTCGTTGTGCTTCGACCATTTTTTAAAAATTAATTTTTTCAACTAATAAATAAATAATTTGATTATAAAAAATTATTCTTGTTATACCGGCACGCTGTACAGTACATGCGACAACTATTCATTCATGTTCATAGAGCTGCACATGTAGCGAAAAAAAAACTATCTCCGCCAGATTACACCTACAAGCGCGCCAGTTACAAATATTAAAGATTCACTTTCAATCTAATTTATATTTTAATTATATACCTAGCCAGTTTAAATTTATTTATTATAAAAATAAATTATTTTAAAAAATTAACTTTATTGAGGAGTTTTTTTTTGTCACTCAACTATTTTTTTTCTTTTGAAATATTTACTTTATTTTATTCATTTATATTATTTAGAATAAAAAATATTCATATAGTTGACTGTATATTGATCTGTGTTATAAATTAATTAAGAAATAAATTCAATCCATGACAATGAAGAAATAATGATAAAAATACTTATGGTCGTTGAGTTAAAAATAAAATTGTGTGTTACAAATTTCAACAGGGAAGTTAAACGAGCATCATAAGAAAATTAAGGAAAAAAAAGTAAGTATATTAAATTTTGATTGTTTTTTTTTTTAATTGTTTAGACAACATTGAAAAAAAATTAAAGGTATGTTTTGTCTCGAACTCATTTTATCCCTTTTCTAATACTAGAATTAAGAAATGTTATGTGTTTAACCGATTAAAATAGCACAATTATAGTCTAATCGAAACAATAGGATTAAAAATTACTGATTAGTCCTCAGGAAATTTATCTTTTTTCCACAATTAAATTTTAATGCAGTAAAAATTTTTTAACATTCTAATAATTTTTTTCAATATTGTTTTTCCTTTTTTATTCTGCTTAAGTTATTTTGAAATTTCGTTGGCTTGTAGAAATTTTTGAAATTCATAATTTCTCAATTACCAGATTGTGACTAGCTAAAGATATATCTATATGAAAAGATATTCATATATGAAAACTCAAAGCTATTCTACCTCATATCATTCTTCAAAAATAAAATGTTAGATTATTCTTTACATTTCACTTTTAATATTAAGATTTTATTATTAAGATTGATTATGCTGTCAACATTATACCCAATTTGCAATGTCTAACCGTATTAACTATTTAAATTAAATCTCACACAAATTTATTCAATTGAATTTATATCAAACTTACCATTCATTTTCCGTCATCTTTTTTTATATATTGTTTTCGATAATTTTGCATAAAATTTATCTTACTTTTTATGATAGATGTACTTATAATTTATATTAAGTTAATGACTATCATTATAAGCTATATTAATATTTAGCCAATGTTTTGTCAAAGTCTTAATAAATAAATTATTAAATCACGTTTGCCTTTTAATTCGTTTCGTTTCTTCCTTACTGAACGGAAATGTTCACTCCATTTACATAAAATTAATTAAATTACTAAAATAATAAAATTACATTTTAATAAGCAGGTGACACACATTTAAAACACATTGTAGAGATACTCAATTATAATTTATTCAATAATAATAAGCATTTATTATAAATAGCAAGTAGAAATAGATTTGTCCGTCTATAATGTTTGTTTTTAATATTTAAAATAAAAATGTTGTCTTTTTCTTCATTATAAAACTATATAAACTCCAAATAGAAGCTTTATTCGATAGGTCTAAAATGAAAAAAAAATTTGCTAGCTTATTAAATAGAGCGGAATTAAATGAATAAGTATTTTTTCATTTTAGACTTTAAACCCAATAAAAGTTATAAGCTAGAAACAGTAGTCTAACTATTATCATACTCGACATTATCACTCACGAGCTTTAATTAGAATCCACCTACTGTGAAGACTATAAAGTAATAAGTAAAAAATACATTTTCTACAGTATTTTTCTATTATATGTATTGCGTAAATTTCAAAAATGATTATTTTAATTATTTCAGTAAGTTTTGAAAATATATATAGATTTATGTAAACTATCTAAAGTGTCATTATGATAATTTGTATTAAATTTTACTGAGTACAATTAAATTTTACAAAAATATTACTTCTCATATAATACATAAGTGTAAATACGAAGATGATCAACTCATTCATATAAATATCAGTTAATTATACTTTTTTATTTAATGATAATATATAATGATCAAGTTTTGTTTTTACGTTTATAAATACCATACCGCCAGATAGCATTTATACTGCTCTCAGCTCATAACTTTTACTAGATTTAGTTTACCCTTCATTATTGAATATTTTAAGTAGAAGCATAGGCAACTGAAGTATAGGCTAGGCCCACGCTGGACATTATATATAAAGAACTAGAGCTAAATAAGAAATATCATTTTTAATAATTATTTTTTCATGTAATTTTGTGGTTAATTTAAAATCAAATTAAGGATATGAGAGATTCAACTTCGTGAATTTATCATCAAATTTTTTTTTCTTATTCCTAACTGATATCAATTGGATCCAAAAAAACTTTTTTTCTGGAATCTCTGGTAAAAATGTTGATTATGAATTTATTTTGTTATAAAATTTTTATTAAACAAAATTCGATTTCGCCATTAATTGTATTAATTTTACGTAATAATGGATATGATTTGTCTTTCATCTTTGGCGTAAAACTTTTACTAATATCATTTTTTTTTATTAGTGAATATTATTTGTGAATGTATTTCGCATATTACTGATCATTAAAAATAAATTTAATTTTGATAAATTATTCATGGTGTTACGTTTTCTTCATTGTAATCCAAAAAAAGATGTTCAATTACATCTACGTACTAAGGTTCTATCTATCTTCGATTATAAAATACGTATTCGTCCATTGTAATTTGTTATACGGATACAGTTCTGCTGTTTGGGTACTTTACTTGTAGAAAATTATTTTCATAAGTGCCATCGAAAAGCTTAGAATACTTTCATTTATCAAAAAATATCAAATATGTATGCACAGTAAATATTTCATTCCACGCTTACATATGTATCTAAACATAAGCTATTAGGACATTTGAATTCAATAATACACAACAGAGATCTAGTCTTTGTATGAGAAACAAAAATTAACAAAACTATGCAGTTTACGAAGAGTTATTAAAAAAAAAAAATTATCAAAATATTACAAGTATAGTAAGATGTCCCAGAGAAATATAAATTTTGTCGAATCTTATAACATTTGGCAAATTGATATTACTTGTTCAATTTTCAAACAATGGATAATATACTTTATTTAATATTCTTACCAGAGAAAAATTACAGTTACTTGTATTAGAATGAAAATGTTAATAGTGTTAATGAAAATATAATTCATTTCATGTTTATGAGATCATTTTTTTAAATTTTGTTATTATTATTTATTATTATTATCATCATCGATCATTGATAATTAACTATTTTAATATATGCAGTTCACTGTAGATAAGAGTATAATAAGCTTTTTTTTTTTTTTTATATAAATAATGCATAAACAAGTATTTCTATGAACTTCTTTAATGTCAAATGACCTTGAAATGATGGATTATGAACTGAGTTATAGATTCAGCTGGACTCATTTTCTTTCACGGCTAGAAGCAATAATTAAAACAAATAAAAATTACTATCAATTAAAATACCAAAAAAATAACTGATTAGTGATAACTCAATGTAGATTCACTTACCATTATCAGACGCATCTTCATTTTGGTCATTTTTCGGCTCTGCTTCCGTTTTCTTTTCATTTTCCTCTGGCTCTGTCTGAGATTCTTGTTTTTCATCTTGGTTAGCATTCTTTTTGTCTTTTACTTTACCTTTGTTAACTGGGGCAACTTTAATTTTTGGCTCGAGACTTAAATCAAGCACTATTTTACCAATATTTTTGTGGTCATGCATTTTCTGCATTGCGTCAGTTACATTCTCTAGAGCCCATGTTGAATCAATTTTAGGTTTAATATAACCATCGGCCCACAACTTGAATACTTGATCCACAGCATTTTTAACAAAACTATGGCCTCCTTGTTGATGCATCAAGTGACGCAGGTTGAAGCCAGTAATGGTTTTGTTGTCATCAAAGAGTTTAATGGGTGAGATTTTGTCGACTTGCCACCACTAAAAAAAAATTTAAAAATAATAAAATAATTACATTCTGTTTTTTTTTTCTTAATATGATTTTCAAAAATTAAAATTATCTTTAACTTTAAATTAAATAAATTAGAATTCTCAAATTTCAATTATACAAATTAAATTTCCAACAATTAAAAAATTCCAACGATTAAATGTTATCTTATATAAAAATTTTATTTTATGAATACGAATTTTTATTAATGACTTTGCTAATTTTTGTGCAACAACCGTTCTGATCCACTGAATAAAACACTATTATTGATAAAAAATAAAAAAAGTTTGGAAAATCCAAAAGTGCACGCCTCATAATCTCATTTTTTACAATAAAATTGATTATAATAAAATATAAAAAGCAAAATAATAAAAAACAGAAAACTGCTATGGTTTAGGGGCGCCATAACTCTAAGGTGAGGAAAAAAATACTATAATAAAATGTATAGATAGTTATATAAAAAAATCCACAGTCATATATTAGTTTTTTATAAATAATAATTTAACGGCAGTGAATTGGACGCTCATATTAATTAAGAAAATCCGTCGTGTGTTACTTTAGATAATAAAAAAAAAAATTATTCCGGTACGATCATTTTTTCGACCAATTTTCCTGCCACATACACCCATTCATACACGGACGTCCAGAAAAGATTTAAAAGATTATGTTTAATGTTATTATTTACTATGTTAAACAAAAAAATTGTTATTGAAATATATTTTATGTGCCTGACAAATTATTTGACTTGATATAAATGTAATCCTATTAACCTGTAAGTGCGATATAAATAACAAAAAATCAATTTCAGTTTCAAGAAAACTGCTTTTTTCGAAATGTCGAGAGTAGAGCACAACCTTAACGCTTCGCTTATAAGGTGTGCAATTAGTAAAACTATTTAGCTCAAATTATATTATCAGTATATTGGCTTCGTTTCAACAATAAATAATTAAATTTTTCAACTTACGGATCGGGCAACAGAAAAGAAACTTTTAGTTTCACCAGTAAAAAGATTATTTGATCCGTAGAGAATGTATCGACCCATTGGCTTCAACAGAGAGTAACATTTGTTGTACTCTTCACCATACATACAATCCAACACAATATCCACGCCTTCGGGTAAAACTCTGAAATGTGAATAATGTTAGAATAATTGAATTTTTTTTTTTTTTTCATAATATAATATTTTTTTTTTATTACTTTCGAACTTCACTGCAATAATCTGATCCCCGTTCTAGCAAATAATCAATATTATTTTCAGATTTAAGTTCTTCATGCTTTGACTTGCTACATACTCCAAACACTTTAACATCTTTTACAGTTTTAGCCAATTGAACAACTGCTTGTCCCTAGTTGGTAAAAAAAAATAATTTATTAGAAAATGTATTAAGCAATAATAAAATCATTTGAGGTATAACTTAATTAAATAAAAAATAATGTAATTTTACATTAATTTGAGCATAACAAAAACAAGAGTGATTAAATGATTTGTTATATATGATATTCTACTTATCGCATCGCTTTAAATTTAAATGCAATATGGAAAATTGAATGAAATTAATAGATTCGACAGAAAGTTATTGTAACTCTTAAGCGAAAAATGTTCAATTTTTTAACTTAAAACAACAATCAATTTTTTCACTTATTTTTTGAAAGGGAACGACGGCACCAAGTTAGAAAAAATATATATTTTGAATAAAATAACATACTAATGAAAAAATTTGAATAAGAAAGTTAGGATAAGCAAACAATATTATCAAATGTGTAAATACTAGCTCTGGAAAATTTACTTGAAACTAGACTTTGAATTTGAGTCATACTATCGTGAATTTTGAGATATTAGATTTATGGAAAATTTTGTTGAATACATTTTTTACTTTATCATGTAAAAATGTATTTATGTGGCTATAGATAAGGGATGACAAGATTATGAACAAAATTACTTACTACTCCACCTCCAGCACTGTGGACAAGAAGACTCTTTCCTGGAGTAAGGCAAGACAAATCAAAAAGTATTATATATGCGACTACGTAATTCATAGTGATTGCGGCTGCATCACTGTAACTCATGTTTTCAGGTAATTTGAAAACTGCAGTTTCTGGAACTGTAACAAGTTCAGCCCATCCTTTGTAATCTGGCAAAGCAACAACACGATCGCCAACCTGAAACATTACCATTAATTTTCACATTTTGTTTTCGTCGTGTTAAATTAAGTTACTGTATTTAATTTAATTAAAGAGTTTCATACTTTGAAATTAGTAACACCTTCACCGATCATTTCAATTTCACCTGCACATTCTGATCCCATGATAAAAGGTGGCTTGGATGGTAAATCAAAGGTGCCTCGTCTAACCATTAAGTCTTGGAAATTCAAACCACTGAAAGAAAAAAAATTGTATTAATGAAATGTCTATTTTCAAACAAATTAAAAATGTATTATTGTGGTGAAGCAAAAATTCATTTATTATTAACTGTTGATAATTTTAATGCTAAAATATTTTCAAGTGTAGAAGAACAAAGAGCGGATTAGTTTCTGTAAAATTTTGGTAAATTTGAAATGTTTATCAGATATTGATAATATGTTCCCACTCAGAAAAAAAATTTCTTCGTTGAAGAACTAATTTTCTTGTCTCAAGAAAATATTTGAAAAAACGAAAATTCTCTTGGTTACAATAAAGTATTATTAAGAGTAATGTTTTATTCTTCCTCCAAAACAACTTAGATTTTTCAAAAAATTTTAATGTTCTAAGTAAATTTTTTTTTCTGTGCACGACGCAATTATCATTAGCTCCAAACGAATTGAGCGAAAATACGGTTTGCGGCGTTTCACAATTAATTGTGACTTTTGGGGAATTGAAACTAAATCGGTAGAATTGGATTTTTGAAAACTTAAAAGATAAAATTTTCAAATAAGTAGTTATTTTAAATAATAGCTTTCAGACTTCTTAACCAATCGATTACAAAATCTACTCTGCTCTCTTTTTTTAAAATGAAAAGAAAAAATCGAATGCCGCAAATCGGATCAAAATCCATTCATTTGTTAAAAAGATATTGATGTATAAAAGTAAAATTATATTTTCACTTTTCTTAAGACAAAATCTTAAAACGAATCACAAATAAGATGAAACTCGAAAATATATTTTTATGTGCTCCGACTTTCAGAATAGCGGTTATTTTCAGAAATCGCCATCAAAATCAATGATTTTTCAATTTCTTTTTTTTTTTATTTTCGACGCTATGAGAGGTTCACATTGAAAATTATTTGTAAAGTCAATAGCAGAAAAATTATAAATAATAGTAAATATTAAATTTTCATAGTTTTTTTTTTTGAAAAACAAATTAAATTTTTTTTTTAATAGTCAATTTTTCTATTCCGACAAAAAAAAATATTACTTCAAAATGAAAGACCATATTTTACATGTACACATGCGCGCAGGCATGATAACTCAATTTTTTAATACTAAAGAATCAAAAATTACTTAATGTAGTTTTTAAATTTTCGACGAACATGTAATTTTATAAAACCATTTTGAACACTGAAATTATCATCAAATCAGTTTTGTTCTTTGAAGAATATTGATCATTTATAAGTATACATAAATACATACATATGTACACATATTATATCTTCAATAAAGGGTGCCGTGAAATATAAATAGCCAGAAATGATTACTAAGATTTCAAAACGACGATACTTGATTACGCCCCAAGTCTTATACATCGCAGTATCAACAGTTCTATTTTTTTCTTTTCAATGCAAAGTTAGAAATTCTTTTAAGCATTCATTATGGGAGATAATTTATCAATAAAATTAAATGATTATATTCCGCTTCTCAAAACAGTCTACATGATATACTTTATCAAATTAATATTATATTTTATGATGCTGAAATTAACAGACGTCTCACAATTTTTAGATTTTTTTTTTAAACAGTTAATTTATAAAAAATAAAATCTTCATCTGGAAATTTTACAAAACTGAAGGAAATTTGTTAAAAATATTTCGTCAATACTAAATAAATAAATGAAATTTATTATATTATTATTGAATTTATTATTAATAAATTCAATATACAAGTACTAAATGCCCGCAGGATGAAACATCTGTAGACAAAATATGGATATTTAACAACATAATTTTATTTCGTCTATAATGTTTAAATTATGAAACTGAAGTTGACGAGCACTTGGTAATTTATAACAAATAAATTATTGTAAAAAAATATTCACTTGTAGAAATTAAAAATATTTATTGATGGAATTTCTTTCAAATATTTTTATAATAATAATAATAATAATAATAATAATAATTTATTTGTAAGAAAAAAACCAATAAGTGACCAGATATCCGTTGATTGCAGTATCATCATTAATTTGTAATATTTGATAAAAATGACATGCATATTGATTTATGACTATATGGATAAATTAATTATTAAATCAGCGAAAAATTAAAAAAAAAAAATTATTCTTTCGAATACTATAAAAAATGGAGCAAAATAAAAATTACTTACCATATTTTAACTTTAATAAGAACTTCGTCTTGACTTGGAGTAGGTTCCGGTTTCTTGAAAACTTTGACATTTTTAAGACTACCAAAGTTGTTAAGGACAATAGCACGCATAGACTTTGGTTCAGATGTCTGTTTGCTGTCATCATTTTCATTAACTTTTTCGGATTCATTGTTTTCTTCGATTTTTTTTTCTTCGATTTGGATATCTTTACCATCGCTTTGTTCAGTTTTAGTTGGAGAATTTGTCTCGTTTATTTTTTTTTCTCCCTCGGCGGATGGGCTATTTTCTGTTTTTTCTTCAGCCATTTTATATTTATTTTGTACTCACGTATTTAGAAGTAATATTAACTCTAAATCTCCAAAAATACTTAAATACCGCAAATGGTTCTAACTAGTGAAATTGTAAATTAAAAACTGAATTATTTTCAATAGTTTATACAAAAAAATACACCGGCGTTTGTAAGCCCTTGAAAACTGTTAGCAACACTGTGTACTGTGTAACTCGTTTCTACTCTCTTGCTGCTTTAAAATTTAATACCGGCATCGGCATATAACAGTATACTTCGAAACCTTCACTGTTGTCCGTTGCTTAGCAACTACTCCTCCCTATTGTCATTTTATTGAGGAGCGGCTTCCCGAACACTAGTCGTCGTAATTCGGTTACTCTCGTATTTCAGTATTTAGAGCCTTCCCGAATATTCCCGAATTCGTAACTCATTGCAACTAAGCATAAGGTACTGAGGTGGGTGCATAATGCTTCTGGACCTTGGACCAATAGATTTTTTAATCTTAATTAAAAAAATATCAATTTTGTCATCTCATGTTAATTGATTTATTTACTTTCAGTACAGTTACCCCTTAAATATTATCCTGCGCACATGTAATGATAAAGTTAACAGACATTTTACAATTTTAATTTTTCTAATAAATAAATTACAAAAAAAAATTTTTTTAATTCACGTGACAAATAAAAAAAAATATGGATGCGTTATTTTATTTTAGCCAATACTGATTTATTTTTAATAAAAAATTTTTATATAAAACCATAAAATGATCAAATGTTTGTAAATTTCGGTATCATGCACGTATAGAAATATGAGCAAATAGTTTTCTTTCGGTATAAAAAAAAAAAATACTAAGGGTTTTTTTTTCTTCTTTTGTTCTGACGTTTCTGTACAAGTAAAAAAATTCATGTGTACTATTATATATTCCAAAGTATATAAACTGACAAAGTTAAATAGCGTTGACGTTATAATAACTTAAGTAGCTTAAATTTATAAATTATTATCAATTCCTATAACGACGTATATAATATAAGCCCATAATATTTCAGGGGAAAAAGTAGTTCATCCTCGAGAAAAATTACTCAGCATCTTAGTTTTTGAATTAAGAAGGTAGAAAACCCAGTTATTGCATGACACTGGCCTAGATGTTTGACACTTGCAATTTTATTCTAATTAAAAAAATAAAATGTTCTCAAAAAATCAATCATTTTAAAATTTACAATTGAAAAATTATATTCATTAATTTGTCAGAGTTGATTTGTTTTTTTTTTTTAATTAAAATAAAATTGCAAGTGTCAATAACTGGGTATTTTACTATAAGTATCATTAAAATTTATAATTAATTAAAATTGGGGGATTTTTTTATTCGAGAAGCAATAGACTGGCATATAAAATAGAGAGAGAGAGAGAGAGAGAGCAATAAGTATGTAATAATGTGTGCTCATCATATAATGAAGGATTACATTAAGGGAAAATAATCGACTTTATACTAGTCGATATTTAAAGCTATCGACCAGGTATATACCTAGAATACCCAGCAAAAAAAATATTCTTCAAATTAAAAATACCTGATAATAAAGGTGGAATGAAAATTAGTATTCTGTATGCAGTAGAGTGGCGTAAAAAGAAAAAAAATTAATTTTTTTAGTCTTCAAAGAATATATCATATTTTAACAGCCATCTAAAAATTAGATCGATTAAAACTTTTTTAGAGTTTGATAAAGATTTTAAAATAATTTTTTAAGTTCAAAAAGGATTTTTTTTCTGAAACACATTATTCGTTATTTTATTATTTTTTATGTTAAAGAGTTTCTTTTTTCTGAAAATTCAACGACGATTTTACTATTTCTTAGAAACGTTCAATATTCTTGTAACTTTTAAAATTTCTCAAAGAATTTTTAATTTTGTTCCTTCAAGTTGACATACTAGAGAATAATAATAAAGTGCAAGATACAAATTAAAGACAGAAGAACATAATAAGGATACTACTGAATTATGAAAGATAAATATTTATCCGGAATCGTTATACTAAATTGGTTATTTCATAATTTTTAATGATTTGATATTTTTACAAGTTATATATATAGTTAGATATCATTATGAATTCTAAGATTTACCTAAAATTTTAGTCACTCGAGATCATTTCATTTATATACTTACTATTTTGAGAATAATTCAGTATTTACCAATTTTGAAAAATTTCAAAAGCTTTGAGTAAGCCCAAAAATTTCTTAACATATGATTTTTGGAGAGTAATCTCGAAACATGATAAATTAACGTATTTCGACAAAAATAGTATTTTCGTTAATGATATCGTCTTTCATAGCTTATTTTTTTTCTAATAACAAATTTTTTCCTAATCACTTAATTTTCAGAAAAACTATTAACATTCTGTTTTTGCTAATTGTTTTTAAAAATTCATGCTGTTTTTCCTGATCATTATTAATTAAAAAAAAA